AGAGTCCTTCCTGGGGCTTCTGCAGGCAAGGGAGGTCACCACCGCCACATATACAATGCCATAATTGTATAATGTGAATGAGCTCCTAGTTCTTTAATAGCAATAGTGTTCTCCTTGGAGACTATGTAAGAGGCCAAAGGTTTCAAATTGCATGCCATTTGCAAGGCCAAGTGTTGCACACCTCTGTTCTCATCTGTGTTCTGATGTTCCAGGTAGCTCATTAGATTAGATTAGATTTTAGCACCTGGTTTATAGGGTCCAGTGTATGTGTTCCCATGCTACAAAAGCATATGAAAATATTTTGATTATGAGTGGGGATACATTTCAATGATGGGAAAGTGTATACTCAAAGAAGAGCCACAGGCTGTTGCCTGACTGGTCTAAAACCTGTTGTTAATTTTAACAAGTGTAGACACACTGACTCCACGGGATTAATCTACATATCAGCTCACCATTCAACAATTAATTGAATGGGTCTACTATAGTTGACAGTAACCAACACAATGCCAGACATTGCTTTTCATCAATACCCTGTAATTGTGTTTTGACATGATGTTGCATATTTTCAAGTGTAATTCTGGGAAGAAAAATGGTTTTCTCACTAACAGGAAAGAGAATCAGTGAGTGTTCCTCTCACCCACACTGAAATTGAGGTCCAACTCACAATAGTGAAAGAGTTGCCCACTGTATCAACTTTCCCTCTTCCTGTTTTGTGATCTTTTGATATAGCACTGGATTCAAGATCTGGAGTCCCTGACAACTGTCTCTCCCCCCCCCCTAAATAAATAAATAAATAAATAAATAAATAAATAGCAGCATGAGATAAGAGATTAGTCAGTCCATATGATATCAGAACATACCATTATGTGGACTGAGTGAATCCATCCTTGGCTTGCCCACAGTATTGACTGATTATACTCCATGTTTTCTCTTGCTTGTTGTTGTTTATTATTATGTGACTTCAAATCATTTCTGACCTATGACAATGCTAAGATTGGGGTTTTCTGGGACTGAGAGTGAGTGATTCACCCAAGGTCACCCAGTGGGTTTCCATGGCCAAGCAGGGAATCCAGTCCTGGTCTCCAGAGTCATAGTCTAATTCTCAAACCACTATATCATGCTGACTCTCTTTCTCTTTCTTACCAAGTACTGTTTTGAAACAATAATATTATAAAGCCAGAGCAAGGAAATATATGAAAGATATAGCAAAAGCCAAGGAAACCACATAATTAGGTGTGATGTGTCACATGTACTTGTGACTTTAGGGACTATTCTGTCATCACTTCTGTAATATGACAGTTTCATAAATCTTTTTTTTTCCCAACTAAGGTTTCCATTTACATATTGGGGGGAGAATGACTTTGGTTAAAGGAAGTGTGTGTGGTTTACACATT